TTAAATAGGTGTTCAGTTTATTAAATATTTTACCATTTTAGGTGTCATCGCGCACGGTTACGGAATTTTACACGGAAATCTATAAATTGACTTTTTACAAGATGCACAAATCGTACGGGCACGACTGCGGGAGGAAGGAAGGCAATCTATAATTCAGGCTTAATAATTGTGGTAGGCGAGAGTTGCGAGAAATAAAATCCCTAGATAGTGATTTATAGATCTGACCGTTGGTGATTTTTGTTTTGCATGACGTTGGTTGGTAAAAAATCTGATTGTCATAAGGTTTGTTCCAACGTCGCCAAGAACCGTTCTGAACGGTCATCAAGCTGGATTTATAGTTAGACGTAGACGTAACATTGACGCACTGCAAAAAGATCAAATATAGAATTTATGTACTCTTATTTATAAATAAACGTAAACGTAGACTTAACGGAAACGTAACGGAAGACTTTTTTTATTTTTATTGAGTTTGGTAACAAAGCAACAACTATGAATCAAAACTAGGTATTTTATTTCTTGCAACAGGCGTACCACAATTATTACATTGTACAAGTAATATTGCACTTTTGTAAATAAAATAAATACAATATACAATGCTTTAATTTATCGGTTCATTTAATGCAAGTAAAAATTATTTCAGTGTTCATGTTTAAAAATAATATAATCTCGAACTTAATTTTTACATTACTTGATGCATTGTAAAACACATATAGTGGTACGCCTGGAGCAAGAAATAAAATCCCTAGTTTTGATTCATAGTTGTTAGTTTGTTACTGTGTTGGCCCGACTTTTGATAGAAGAAGGGTGACAACCAACTATACGTACTTAGTTAAAGTCATATTGACAGAATGAGATGACATTGACAAATTAATTTCAATCAGTCAGCTGTGTTAAAAAAACGTTTAAAAGTTTATTTAAATTATATCGAGTCTTAGCGTGAAAGATTGTTAGTTTGAGTTGGTAATAAAAAATGGTCTCCTAGAGTAACAAGGTTGTTGATGGTAGTAGGCGAATGAATTTGAAAAATATATTCCTAGGTCTAGGAATATATTTATTGATGATTTTTTTAAACAAGCAATTGTAGGTATTTATGAGTTTAAACATACAAGGTATGATATAAATATTATATTAATCAATTTAATTAATTAGTTAAAATGGTTGTAAAGCTTTGACCAAGTTTATTATTTTAATGTGGATTCTTAAGGTTTTAACTCTGATATTTATGTATCTAGTTCAGGAGACGTTATAATTCATATATTTTGTATCATAAGTCGATATCATTATATTAAATATATTAAACCTTAATATTCCTTATTTTTACTATTACATACATATTATTATTACTATATGCCTTATTTTGATTATTACGTTGATATTATTATCTGCTCTATTATTATTATTATTATTATTCTTACTATATTTTCTATGCATAGATCATAGATCATAATCATGATTACTATATTGTACCTATATTATTACTGTTTCTCTATTTATTGCGCCATGTAATAGGATTAATAAGAATGAAGGTTTTGCTGTATAAAATTGAATTGCATCTCTGTTTCGACTGTTTATACAAAATGAGCTGATATATTGTTACTGATGATCATTATTATAAATTTAGTTGATATTACATTTGGCTTGGTAATACTTAAGAATCTGCATTTATTAAACCTTGGAAATAAAACCCTTTAACCTATAAACTTGGAAATTATATATATATACTTCTATAAATCTACCGTATTAAACTAGTAAATCTAAATCCACTAAAGTGACAAAAAGCTAACTGAAACTAATAATCTCAAAACGTTTGATAAAACCTATTGTTAAAACTAATATTCAAATACAATGAATATAAAGCTGACAACCATTATTTGTGTGTTTTTATTACTTAATCTAATTTCCTCTCTCTGGCATCCTTCCTATCTAGAAGCGAATTCAAATAACACAACGTAGGTACCTTTCCGACTAGACTAGATGATCACACCGTTTTTGGCCACACTTGACAACATTGCAAAGTTGTTGAGGTTATGTTTGAATTCGCGAGATTCTTAAAATCTCTTTGGGTTACTACTTTTTACTCGAGTATGGGGTACCCCACCCCGTGCCCATCACATTACCAAACTCAATTATAGGCTCGTTCCAACTTTCGTCATTTAATTGGTTGCGACGTTGCCAAATTCCTTTTCAGTCTTAAGTCTGAAGAAAAAATACAAGTAGAGGAATACTGCAAACATTATTTCAATTTTTTAGTATTTGACAATATGAATCAGAAATTAAGCTGGATTTATAGTTGGACGTAGACGTAAAGCTGGATTTATAGTTGGACGTAGACGTAAAGCTGGATTTATAGTTGGACGTAGACGTAAAGCTGGATTTATAGTTGGACGTAGACGTAACGTAAAAAAGTATTCAATTTATAAACCGACGGAACGGTATTTTTGGGCATACGTAGTTGTGCGTTGGGTAACCTACAAATTATACGTAATTTTTTTCGCTCGAGGATTTGAAAGTATGAATTAGAAATTAAGCTTGATTTATAGTTGGACGTAGACGTAACGTAAAATGTATTCAATTTATAAATCGGCGGAACGGGATTTTTGGGCATGCGTTAAGACAACCCACTGTGCACACATAATTATCTCTTTTGATTGGCCGGACGCAAGAAACGGAACGGAAAAGATAAAAGTTGACCAACTCTTTCGTTCCGTTTCCGTTAAGTCTGCGTTTACGTTCATTTAAAATAATAGTAGTTGGGTTCGCGTTGGGTTCGAGTTGGGTTCAGGTTAGATTCGAGTTGGGTTCGGGTTGGGTTCGAGTTGGGGTTTGAGTTGGGTTCGAGTTGGGTTCGAGTTGGGTTCGAGTTGGGTTCCAGTTGGGTTTGAGTTGGGTTCGAGTTGAGTTCGAGTTGGGTTCGAGTTGGGTTCGAGTTGGGTTCGAGTTGGGTTCGAGTTGAGTTCGAGTTGGGTTCGAGTTGGGTTTGATTTGGGTTCGATTTGGGTTCAAGTTGGATTTGAGTTGGGTTCGAGTTGGGTTCGATTTGGGTTCGAGTTGGGTTCAAGTTGGATTTGAGTTGGGTTCGAGTTGGGTTCGAGTTGGGTTCGAGTTGGGTTCCAGTTGGGTTTGAGTTGGGTTCGAGTTGAGTTCGAGTTGGATTCGAGTTGGGTTCGAGTTGGGTTCGAGTTGGGTTCGAGTTGAGTTCGAGTTGGGTTCGAGTTGGGTTTGATTTGGGTTCGATTTGGGTTCAAGTTGGATTTGAGTTGGGTTCGAGTTGGGTTCGATTTGGGTTCGAGTTGGGTTCAAGTTGGATTTGAGTTGGGTTCGAGTTGGGTTCGAGTTGGGTTCGAGTTGGGTTCGGGTTGGGTTCGAGTACAGGAAACCCAAGTAAAGCCAAGGACAGCATGGTGAAAGTGATATTGGTCGGACCTTTTGATCCAGTCTGGAAATAAAAAGGGAAACCAGGGAGGACGAGAACATTGCTTTTTATCAAATAAAAGATGTTGACACGGGGAGATTACAAAAGATGTTGGAAACGATCTTTAACGGGGCAAATACCTTGGCAGCTATTAAATAGCTTAAACACCTTAAAAAATATAGCCGCGGAAAAGAGACCAAAGAAAAGACGCCCTTACGCAATAGTGGTAGAGGGCAAAGAGAAATCTTACAAAGACACACTAAAGAAAGTAAAATCCTTGAAAGATAAATCACAAGAGGGAATCTAAAACATTAAAAGCACCAAGGATGGGAGACTCCTAATCACAACCGATAAGGACCAAAGCGTGTTAGACAGCATACATAAAACTATTCAAGAAGGAAATATGTTCGAGGGAGGAAAAATAATTAAGATCGGAAAAAAGGAGAACACCGAAGCAATATATATTAGGAGCGTGGACGCAGACACCACCAAAGAAAAAGTACTGGAAAGCCTAAAAGAACATATAGAAGAATCAGCCTTAAAAGGCACTAAACTCAGCGATATAAGACCCGCCGCAAACCATACACAGACCACAGTGGCTGGTGGATTTTATGTATATCAATATCTCAGTTATTAGACATGGGACCCACACCAAATGTATAATAGTTTATAATGACATTAAATAGACAAATTTGGCGCAAACAGAATTTAAATTGAAGTTTGCGAAAAAAAGTTTTTCCTGGTGCCTCACCCGCCTCCAGGCCCCCCTATTTAAGATTATTCAAATTAAAGTGGTTCAATTTATTATCTACTATAATCTATCGACAAATTTAAAATTTTATTAAAAAAATCCAAATATTACAGGTTTTATACCATTTTAAATATTTTTTTATTTTTATAAAATAAATAATAAAAATTTAAAATCGAATAAAATCTGTAATTTTTGAATTTTTTAAATAAAATTTTAAAATCTGAATATAATTGTCACTGAGTTGTCACTGAACCAATGTAAGAGTTCATCTAAATTCATTAACACATCTGTTCAAGAGTATTTCGACTGTTGTTTGAGATAACAAGTAAGGTGTCATCTGCATACAGAGGTGTTTTGCAAAATGCTATGTGAATATAGTTGTTTTATCACAAACTTGATTTTTGCGGGTTTTTTTATATGAAAAATTAAAAATAACTTTTTCTACGATAACTATGCAAAAGTTTCATTTTGAAATGGCATTGTTGCTTAGAAAATGAATCTTTTTATTGGCAAGGCAAAACACAAATGAAAAGTGACATTTCTGTGTGAAAAGTGACAGGTCTGTGTAAAAAGAAATTGGCAGCATCGTTTGACATTCGTTTCAAAATTTGTATTGTATTTGTTTGTCTAAATATCATTTATAACACAGTTAATTGTGTTTGTATACTAAATTCTAATTTTTAGTGCCTTACTTCAAATTGAGAAGGTAAGTTTATGGATTTTAAGGAACTTATTCCTTAAAAATTAAAAGAATAAGATTAAAGTAATTTTTACAGCTGTCAAACACGTTTTTAGGTTATTCTGTTTTGTATTTTAAGCTCGTGTTAATGCACTTGCATGAAAAAGTCGCTTTTCAACACTTGTAAAACAAATAAATATTTTTAAATACCTATATTTTTCACAATTTTGCTTTAATCTTATTATAATAAAATTTTCAGGGTATACTTTTCAAATACGAATATCTATTTAATTTAATTGGTACCTATGTTAAAATTTTCAAAAATGTTGTTTTCGTAAAAATGACGGATGCTCCGGGATTAATTTAGAAAAACAAAAAATTAATTGTATCATCCACAATTTTAATGACAGTTTTATAAAAGTTGCAGGATATATCAAGAAAGCTGCTCTTTTTTAAATGAGTTTAAAAGATTTTTCGTAAAATCTTTTTTAAAAGGTAACGAGGTTTTTATAAATAAATCCCGGCGCCCCCGCCATTTTTTTCATTTTTAACATACCAATTAAATACATATTTATAGTATTCCCTGAAAATTTCATTGAGATTAAAAGCAAAATTTTAAAAAATGTATGTTTTTAAAAAATTAATTTTTAATTTTCTACATAAAAAATTGTATCACCCACAATTTTAATGAGAGTTTTATAAATTTTAAGGGATATATCAAGAAAAATGCTCTTTTTAAAGTGACGTTAAAAGATTTTTCGTAAAATACTTTTTTAAATGTTTCGAGGATTTTATAAATTAATCCCTCCATTCTTGCAAAAAACAACATTTTTAAATTTTTTAGCATACCAATTAAATTAATTAAATATTCGTATTTTAAAAGTATACCCTGAAAATTTTATTAGGATTAAAGCAAAATTATGAAAAATATGGGTATTTAAGTTTTTTTACATAAAAAATACCGCAAAATGAAGTTTGTGATGTGCTACAAATCTACAAATCTGAGTGGTAGACAAAAAATTTTATGATTTTTTTTAATGAGGTCGGGGCTCATGTTAAAAATTAATTTAAAAATCTGAAACCTTGGGAGTACCTTCAAAAAAGTAAGAAATGTATGAAAATTTTCAAAATTGTTGTTTTTGCAAAAAAAAATGGCGGATGCGCTGGGTTTAATTTATAAAAAAAATATTTTACGAAAAATCTGTCAACGTCACTTTAAAAAGAAAATTTTTCACGTGGTGGGACTTTGATGTTTGGTGCATTATGTATTAATTAGGTACCTACCTACTCAAATTTTTACGAAGCTGGTGGTAATAAAAAATGGTTATTATTAATTATAATATAATATACATTTATAATAAATTAATTAGCTTCATAAAAAATTAAGTACTGTCATAGAATGCCTCAAGTCACTTTTAAATTTGAATTTCAATTCAATTACAATGAATGCCACTAGGATGCGCAAAAAAGCTGACGCTTTTTTCGACACCAGCATGTGGCGTGTGCTTTTATTTGTTGTAAAATAACATGCGGTTAAATTATTTCTATGAAAACGCTTAAATTAGTAGTGCCATCATCTTGATTATTAATAAGTAAAAAAGCGACCATTAAGTAAGTATTCTTTGGTTTAATTTTATCTTTTCCTTTCCCAATCATATCAATCTATAAATACCCGAACCTCACGTGAAACAACAATAACAACAAACCCTTTGACAGTACCTAATTAATACAAAGTATATTATAACGTAAATAAAGTAATTATGATATTTTAACATGGTATGTGAATTAGGGTGGGTCAAAAAAATCGACTATTTTTATTTTGACTTCTGCCACTGAAAAATCGGTTTCGGGGCACCTTCAAAACATGCTTAGCAACGATGAGCTCTTAACTTTGATGGGAAGATCCGCCTCATTACAGTTTTGCATATTTTTCTTAGTCCCCTACAAAAAAATTCATATCTCATCATTCGTTAATCATACAGCAAAACTCTAAAGGAGTTATTTGTAGAAAATTAAATGTTCTACAAAAAAGATCTCCTATACTTTTTTGATTAATCCAACTATTAAAGAGATATTCAAGGTCAAAGATTGAAGAATTTTAAGAAAGATAACTTTGCTTTTCTGAATTTTGTAACTTACTGAAAAAAAATTATCGACAATTGAGATTTTACTATGTCTATCGGAAATTGAACGCTCTACAAAAAAGGTCTCTTAGGACTTATCGATTACTCTAACCAATCAAAAGATATTCGCATTGGAATGTCAGTGCATACTGCAAATATGCAAAACTGTAATGAGGCGGATCTTCCCATCAAAGTTAAGAGCTCATCGTTGCTAAGCATGTTTTGAAGGTGCCTAGAAACCGATTTTTCAGTGGCAGAAGTCAAAATAAAAATAGTCGATTTTTTTGACCCACCCTAATGTGAATAGAGTTCTTAACACTTTAACTGCCGGCAACGCGGCTACCGCGTTCTTGTGTATTTTACAATATGCCGAGCACGCGGGACCTGCGTTCTGTACGGTGGCATATAGCATGGTTTTTGTCCCTGGTTGCCGCCAACGCGTCTACCGCGTTTGTTTATTTGTTTTTTGTTTTAGTATTTTTTCATATAGAACCTTTTAATAAGAAACGAAAGAAACAACTTTGATCCATTTTTATCTAAAATTTCTAAAAAAAACTATCGGCACTGCAATATGGGCGGACTATTACGTCGGCAGTGAACGTGTTAAATTCTGTCAAAAAAATTGCGAAATAGAGGTACACTCAGAGAAATAAAGTTTTAATTCAACACTTGTTGTGTCAAATTAAATGTTTTCTCTACTTAAATACATTTAATGTTTTTATTACTTAAAATAAATATAAATTATATACACTTGCTTTAAGACTTAAATAAGATAATTTAAATACGTAATTCTTTTAATTTTCATTATTAAAAAAGTTAATTCAACAAAGCTAAATTTTTAAATTGATTTTTTAAATATAAAATTTAATAAATCAAATTTTTAAAATAATAAACATAATCTTTTGTATTAAAATGAAAAACATAATATGCTAAAACCAATTTGAAATATGAAAATATATTCACAATAATCGACCATCCAGGGGCAGCGCGTATAAAATGAAATTCCACACCAACGGTTCTTTGGGTTTATTGCGCAGCACGCCGACTCTCCAATAAGGTAAATATTTCCGTAACGCCAGTGAATTTATTTAGAAATAAGTCTTTAATTTCTTAATATTTACTGTTTTTTATCTTTGTTAATAATTTAAATGTTAAGGTAGATAATTATATATAATAATACAGTACACTGAAAGAAATATATACTAAAGTTAAATAAAAAAATGATTAGGGCAAATATATTTTATATTTCATATATGGATTACCACATACATTGCTAAAACAAATATATTCGTTTGGTTAGCAGCCTATTGCTGCCCTAGCAATATAAATAGTGTTTCTAGCAATATTTTTTTGCTGTAATTCACCTATAGTTTACATTTTATAGTAAGGGTAAGTTTATTTTTATTTAGATCTAACATATCTTCTTTACAATAAATGTATTACAAAATTTAACATACATTCATACACTGAAAGAAATTTGTTGCTTAAAGTAAATACAAATGTATACTA